TGTGTGTGTGTAGTAGTGGTGGGGTGGATGTGTGGGAGTAATGTGTGTGTGTGGGGGGGTTCAGAACGTTCAGCAGAACAGACAGGATGCAGGGCCGTGCACATGCACCATGCATGTTTATAGTTACGAGGTACTGAAGCAGTGGATTTAAACTATTTCACAGTGTTGTAGAGAGACGGAGCAAACAGTTAAGTTGGTGAAAACTGAGAAGGTGATGTGATGAATGAAATATTAGCCCTTGTACTGTAGAGCCTGAAACCTTGCCTCATATGTTCTAGTAGTATGCCAGCACAAGCACTGTTTTTCTTAATTAAATACGAAGGAAAAAGATTCTACATTCCCGTCTTTCATATTTTACCATGTGCAAAAATAACCAGGAGTTGATATATTTGACATTACTTCATCAAATGAAAGAAGAAGTGGAGTCGCACTACTGAAGATGACTTGTTGCACGTGTTTGTGCATGACTGTTTCTAAACAGTGTACGATTCAGAGAAATGCTCAGTTAACAGCACATGTTATGCACGTTACCTGGTCACTGCTACCCAGTGTGTGATAAGTCAGCAGAGGCCTGTACTGTATCCAGTAAGTAGTGTTGTTGACAAGAACTGCTCTGTCCTCTATCTGTAGGATCTGGATGCCATGTCTCACCACAGATGACACACAGAACTGACACAGCTACAAGGGGAACAAAACACATTAAGTTGTTAGCTAGATACTGTATAATTAGAAAAAACACACAATTGAGTAGCATTTTCATTTGGTGAGATTAAAATATGTTAGGAAAAAGCTTGAGCTGTCTGCTCAACATCCACTGAAAAACTGGTTTCACTTAATGACATTATATTGTATTTCACTAAAAACATTTTCATGGTACCATCTGGGGCCTTAATGTGAAATTCAATGCATTTAAATGACTATTTCAAGAACTAGATTTGATTCCCTCGTAGTTTGCTAATATCTTTAAGGTCAGCACAGCTGTTTTTCTATTCTTGCTATAGCTCTGCTCTGGTATCTGCACATCTCTAAGCAGGTAAACCAGTTGGTTTTGTTGGCTATACAGTAGTTGGTTTGTGGTAGACTAACAGCTGTGGGATAAAAACAGATGAAAACTGCCATATAGTTCAATGAACACACTAGAATGTGTAAAACACATTTGGATACATTACTACAAAGTACCCTATTAAAATCCTAGTGAGTCTCGACCTCACCTGACTGTTCAATCAACTACTTTTCCTGTTTGGAATACAACCTTTTAATCAAGGACATTCAACAGGTGGTGGTAACTGAATGTTAAATAAGTTTCAAAGTTTGATCATTGGTTTCCTCACCTTCTGTCTTCCAGGGAAGGTGCCCAGGGTGATGTCGACCTCTACGTATCCCTCCTCATCTAGAGTGACCATGTCTGGGCCTGATCCCTCCTTCCATCGAGGAGAAGTCAGGTCATGGACCAGTTTCAGTGCTGTAGACTTGTGGACAGTGTTGGTGTGGGCCCAGTAGATACCAATCTGGAAGGGTTCCTGGATGGTGGGGAAAAAGAGGTCAACTCACTGTCATGCATGCCAAACACAATTTACTATTAAAACAGTCTGTGTTTGACAGCACTTTGGATACAGTCAGATGCTAGGATTAACTGTGGCTTCATTATCAGTAACTCAGCACAGTGTCCTGAGAGTGTCAGTGTTCCCTGCAAAGCTTTGCAAACAGTACTGGCAACTGAAAAATATATAACCTCCATTACCACTGGCTTTGTTAGGAAAACATAATGTTAGTGACACAGAGAATATTCATGCATTTTAGCTTCATGACACATGCCTTTCAAACACCAGACTTCTCCCATAAACCCATAAACTGATCAACTCAGAGCTGCAGCACTTGTAGTTCCAGGAAAAATAGCAGGACTCTATGGGAACAATGTTTTATTTGTTTCTATTTTGACACATTTATAACTTGTTTTGTTTCTTGTGCTGAACCATATCAGTACTTGCTCTTTGATATGTTGCCTCCAGTGGCACAGAAATGAATGTGTGTGTGTTGTGTTTCACAGGGGAAAACCATCTGAAACCCGTTCTTCTGATCTCAGAAGCCAGTGGCAAGATGCGCCAGCAACATACGGTGGCAGAGCTTGGCTGCAGATAAAGACCTAGGCAGGGAATATTGCTGTAATGCAGCTGTGGGGAATAATCTCAGGTTCTACTGGCAAACTTTTACTGACATTCATGCAACATGATTCCACTGATGTAACATAATACGTGGTGCTCAGATATTATATAAAAAAATCTAAGTGGTATAAGAAAATGCTATTAACTTTATGGAAAATCTAGGATCCAGTGCTTTTGGGGCTTGGGACTAAAAGTCAAGAGGCTTTGGTCTTAGCATCTTAAACCTTTACTGTTCCTTTTTAAAGGTGTCTCTTGCAGTAGGCATATACTGTAGCTGGCACCCTACCTTGAAGTTGGGCGGTACAATGACCTTGCCGGCTGGTATCTGAAGTACGATGCTCTCTCCCTCGAAGAGCCAGAGGTCCCACTGGGAGTGGTTGGTGAGCAGGGCCCAGGGCAACAGTTCTACCAGTAGAGTGTTCAGACCAGACTTCCAGCTGGATAATTTCACTTGCATTGGACTATCCCACTGGGCAAGTGGCTCTACCACAGCCCTGTGGGGAGAGAGCACATTACTATAAAAATGACCCTGGTAACATCTGAGGGCAGTAATTAGGTCACACTGCTGTGACTGGTCCAACTGGTTTGGTTGGTTTTCTGTAAAGAGGTTCTTGAATTGATTTCCAAACTGACAGAATGCGTTCCCACTGAGGCGAAAATACATTTATTACATACTGTATATACTCTAGAGATTTTCCAGGAAATGCAAACTAATTATTGTCTGTTACAAGCCACATGTGTAATTGCTTTAAAGAACATTCAGAGCCCTACAGTAAATGTAGTCAGAGCATTAAGAGGATGTGTTGCAGTTTGTCTGAGAAAAACTGATTTGGGTAGTAAGAGCTAAAGCTGAGGATTTTTATAGGATGCGCAGTACATGACTTTCCTAAATGCTGGAAACAGCTTCTCAGTGCATATACCTGTGGTCACACGAGGATTTGGTTTACTTTTACTCCAATGTAACAATATGATTTGTATAGAATAGAATAGGATGAGGACTGGATAGCACCCTGTTTTTTAATTAACTTGTTGCTTTTGTATAATCTGCATGTGTGTCTTATGTATTACTTGTATTTAACATTATTTAACTTTAACTTGATGCCTCCTAAGTTTCTTTACCAGAGTGAATCATCTGCTATGTGGGATGGCAGGGAAGGTCTCGTTTATCTAAGATTTAACCAATCCTACCGAAAGAGCTGGTTGAACCTTTGGTCTTTGCAATCGATGCACATTTACTTCTGGGAATAAAACCTGAACCTCTGACAGGAGTGATCAACACCACTCTATTCAGGGGTCCAGACAAAACAAAAGACAAGCAGGCAGACATTCAGAACAAATGTGTGCTGAGCTTGTTTCTCATACAGACTATTGCAGCATGGCTATGGGTGCATGGACTGCACACACCGCACCTAGACATATAGCTACACAATGACACATGTCAAGACAAAGAGACAAACACACAGCTACCTGTAATGCACAAGTGATAAAGAACCTTTATTGTCAGATCAGCTAGATCACGTCATAAAATTTGTTTTTGCTCAATCACCAGGATTAAAGATCATTTCTATCAATGTTCATCAAGGATCATTTTCCTCTGTCTGCTCCAGTACTTTGGCTGTGGACATGTTGTACACACTGCCAAACAGAGCAGCATTCACCCTCAAACTGACATTTAAATGTGTCATAAATAAACAGGCAATTCTTATACTGTTATATTATGCAGACCATTAACACTGACAAGAGTCACGCAGGCTAAACAAATACATAGAAAGACATGGTCTGCAAACAACTTGCACAATACAAACAGAAAGATGGTAGACAAAGCATCTGGGAACAACCATGGGCATGCAGAGACAGAGAAACAGGCACACAGACAAAACCATACAACCGCTTTTATACCAATCCACCGATAACAGCAGTCATTTGACGGTAACCATGGCTGGTGAGCCCTAAACAGGGCTGGGTGCCAGAAGACAGCCAAACAAACAGTGCTCTCAGACTTACTCTGAAGTTCAGAGTCATCAAAGATGACCCAGTCTTCCCTTTCCTCCCAAGGCCACGTTGCCTCTGCTCAACCACCAAACTGCCACCTCAGACTTATCACATACATCCTACTAAACATGTGATGTGTCGAAAACACACGGTGTTTCCTGACTGTTGCCATGAAACCCAACTTGCAGAGACTGAAACTGGCATGAATATCTTTTAAATCAGAGTAAACATTTATTCATCCTATGTATAGGAAATGTATGTACAATATGTAGCCTATCCTACAGCCCAACCGGCACCGGGGCTGAGACTTAAATCAATACTTGAGAACTAGAGTGGAGAGAGAGAGAGAGAAAGAGATAGATAAAATAGGATGGATGTTTAACACACGGTTTTGACTTACACACTGTCACTGTTTGAACACAGTTTTGAGTTTCTTCATAGCCATTAGGTTGTACCATTTCTCCTTCTTTCGGCTGTTCCCGTTAGGGGTCGCCACAGCGAATCATCTGTTTCCACCTAACTCTATCCTCAGCATCCTCTACTCTCACCCCAGTTAACTTCATGTCCTCTTTTAGCACATCCATATATCTCCTCTTTGGCCTTCCTCTTGACCTCTTGCCTGGCAGCTCCATCTCCAACATCCTTCTACCAATATAACCACTACCCCTCCTCTGCACATGTCCAAACCATCTCAATCTGGCCTCTCTGACCTTGTCCCCAAAACAGCCGACCTGAGCTGTCCCTCTGATGTGCTCATTCCTAATCCTGTCCATCCTGGTCCCTCCTAAAGAGAACCTCAACATCCTCATCTGTGCTACCTCCATCTCTGCCTCTTGTCTTTTCCTCACTGCTACAGTCTCTAACCCATACAGCATAGCTGGTCTCACTACTGTCTT